GAGAGCATCGTTGTAACTCTCCGGTCATTGATTTACTGATAAACTGCTTGATACGAGCATTTTAAACTGCAACACAGCATAGAAGAAGAACATTTACGTTATGGGTGAGGTGTATGAATCACACAATATTATGGGTTGTTAATTGAAAATATAATATTTCAAGTGACTCACTACTTAAAGTAATATTCCAAGTGACTAGTCTATCACTACTTAATAACTGCTCGGTATAAGGTAATTGAGAAAATGTTATAGACAAACTAATGAGTTTAAATAGCGCAAGTTCACAGCTGATTTTTAAATTCACATTCTAAATTATGAGTGCTTCGCTGCAGTATTCGTACGCTTAATCACGCATCAGAATAATGTTAACGGCAATTCTGATAGCATCGTTAAAAAATGACGAATTCATTAACTAACGTAGTCCGGTTCCGGTTCGTTGTAATCTCTCATCACTACCACAGATGACTGCTGCAAACAAATGGAGAATTAATGAAAGAAATTGATAAGATATACAAGCATTTCAAGCTGTAAATAAATAGAGTGGCAATCGATGAAACTGCACTCTGATGGTTTGCATCTACCAAATGCCTTCAAATTTCATGGATACATTCAACTGCATAACAAAACTGAATATTCGTTAAAGTAAAACAATAAAAACAGAAATATACTGACGAAAATCACAAATATAAACACTTGTGTGAATGTTTCTGACGCTGCATTATCTGATATTTGTTGAAAATAAGAAGTTGACGATTCGAGTATTGAAATTACAAGTAACACTGTACAACAACAACCACTTCTTTAATGTATCACTTCTTTCAACGTGCAAGATTTACTTTTATTAACTTGTTTTATCGAATTATTCATTCTCTCAACTAGTCCAGCCATGAACAAGATCGTTATCAGATGGATAAATCACTGTTGACAATGGTAACAGCATTCAAGTTTCTGCCACAATAACTATTGCTGAACTGTAACCTTGAGGCACACGAATGAGCAAATGCTAGATATTTTCTGCGAAGGAACCTTTCATGGAACAGATTGTTAATGAGATAAAAAATCAGCGTTGTCTTTCAACTGAAATTTTGCACAAGAAAAATAATTCAATGAGTTCAGATTTCTTTGGATTAAGATGAAATTTTCCCTTTCTTTTCCAAACGAATATGATTGTGGCAGACTCCCAGATGAAATAACGTTACCTAGTGACAATAACAACGGACTGCAAATCACAATGGATACTCATAAGGAATGAATTTCTACACTTCAATAGGATGAAAGTTTTTGGGTTTTTTTTNTTTTTTTCGATACTCTACACTCAAATTAATCCCTTTGAAATTGTTAGGTCAATCTCAAATGAATGACTAGAAAACTCTAATAATGAAATTGGCGAAACACTCTTGGAGTGACCCGAAAGTGCATATGAACAACTAGGTCAATTTATACTGGTAATTTAGGTAAAATACAACGAGAAATCAAAAACAAAAGGAACTGGACTGGTGAATTACAAACTTAAGATCAATGAGGGAAATGACCAATAAATCTGAAACAAAATGATTCCTGGATAAAGAAAACACGATTGCGCAATACAGAGCGTTGAAAGTGATAGATTAAGTTAAGCGAAGTAAAATACATTCCGTTGTCTAAAATGAATGACATTTTACGACATAAACGAGCCATGTCTACATTATTTAAACGAAGTTTGATATGAAAAAATGTATTTCGTAAATAATTTTTAGTATGCTCGCTTTTGACTGACATTGTTGTGAGGCGTTTAAATTTATTACATTTCAACAATTCAATCAATCGTAAATGTTCATCGTGAGTAAATATTATCATTTGCATTATGCAATGAGGTGAGAACAGTTCTTCGCGAATAACCGTGAAATACAACGGAATTCGACTGCTTCATAATGTAACACCTCCAGTAATTTCCCAATAGTTATGTGCTCAATACAAGAATTTGTTGAGATAGAACAACTTGATACATTCAGCGGCGAATTACAATGCTGCATTTTCATCATTAACGAAAGCTTCGTCAAAGAACTATCAATAGCACTGCTTCAGTCAGCCTCAGTAATTACAGCTTTTCGATTTGTTCCATCGAAAAAGCATTTTTTNTTTTTTAGCATGTCCATTCACTAGAATTACGCAGTACAACGCGAAATGAAAATGATTTCCAAAACTTACATAAAATTTCGTTATTTCATCAAAGAGTGATGTTGGCCGTTCCATATCCTGAAAATCCGAATAATATCAAACAAATATTTAGCACGTGAGGTGCATATTACACCATACAATACAACCTTACAATGGTTAGTTTTGAAATTTGGCTGCATTATACGAATTATTGATCCAAATATTTCGAAAGAAAACTCCGATTGATCTTCTGCATCAACGAACACGGATCAGATCGATCATTATTTAATGAACATGAGTGATATCTTATAACTGCATTTTGGTACTTATAGAGATGAGGTGACAAGTAAGGATTGTATTAGAAATTTTACAGTTGGCTTCTGCAAATTGTTGAGAGCATCATGAAACTAAGCGTTGCAATCAACCAAAAAATTATGAGAGAAGTTAAGCAATAAAGAAACTTTCTTCCCATCAGAAAATTATTTGCACCAGAATAAATGAGACACAATTCATAGCAATTAAAGACGAAACCGAAAATACCTTTGAAATGGGTGTTGATTCAAAATGAGTGTTATGATAATTGTATTAGGAATGAGTTAATTAACCCTATAAACATCCGAAAGATGGTTGAATTAATAACTTAAATTATCCATAATGATGATATTTTAAAGATGAAATGAAGTTGTTGATGAACGTGACTAACCATCATGTAAATACTCACGGAAAAATTTTTGATTAAAAGTGAATAACAATCGAATAATTTAATCAAATGAAAAGTGATCAAATATTACATTTAGCAATGAATGAGGATTTGGGTACTTGTACCGAAACAAGATCAAATGAATGTGAGCTGAGAAACTGTTGAATCAGATGAATGAAAATGATTCAAAGATAAAAGGACCGAAAAGACTTGGTGAAACTGAAATGAACAAACAGAGATGAAAGATCCTAGTGATAATATTGCACAGCAATTGCATCATTATAAAACAACTGAAAATACAGTTGAGAACTCACATAATCCGGCTCTGGCTCATCGTAGTCTTTCATCGTGCCTGAATGCTGAGAATAATGTCAAAATCGCTCGGAGAACTTTCGCAAGAAAATTAATGAATAAATAACTGAATGAATACGCACACCAATCAACGACTTGTCAGTAACATAATTCAACAAAACCATTCACTTTCGTAACGCATTCATAATTAATCACTAAATCGCAAAATACGATAACATTTAACCTAGAAAACCAATAATTTAATGTCCTAATTTACAATGTATTCACAACTTTTTCCACTAATGAATGTTTCACGATGATCATTGAGCGCATAACTATACTAATCCAAATCGGATGAAGCATAGTTAATTAATAGCAAAACTTCGAGAGTAGAGTTCAAAATTGTTAACGAGAGTAAGACCTGCATACAAAACTGACCGGTACACCTATCAAAACTAACAGTCAAGATGATATGAAGTAAGTCAGCAAATAATAATCAAAATTCAACAACACCGTTTCAGTCAGACTGCCGTTGAAAGCAAAGTTCGCAAGCAGTTGTAACGTCAAAGGAGGTTTCTACGCGTTCCAGAAAGAAGTTGGTGCTAAATTACAAAAAGCACTTCATAATTTCACGAGGCACTGTTTTCCAAATCTGATATGGGTAGCTGAATATTATTTCAGGATTAGACTGGTGCGGGAACGGAAAAAAGTCGGGGACGGNNAAATCCCCGAAGTTCCTCGATCCCCGAATTCCGATTGAATGCATTCGATTGGATTGATAGGAATGTAGAAACGTGAAATTTATATAAACAACTTTGAATGAGCAACAAAAATGAATGTTAAGTATTGGAGTGAGTTGATTATTTTTTGTTACTCGTTGATCTGTTTTATATGAATGTTGTATCGATGAACACCAACCAGCTGACAATGAAATCAGTTCATTTCAATTAAAAATCACTCGAAACGAACAACAAATGATCAAATACACTTCAAATACATAACATTAATTCAATATCTCAGTCTTTGTTCGATGTTTTGATTCCACCTCAACAACAGTACATTTGAATGGTATGTGAATGCGTGCTTGTGCACAACTCCATTAATGCAAACATGAATGATTCGTATTTGATAAAGATATCACGAAAATTCCACTCAAATTTCTCGGATCATCACATTACCAATTACACCGAATATGGAAAAACTGAAATCCGTTCTGCTATTAAAATTACAAGCGACGACATCGCTATGTCCTGATGAATATGCTACGATGTATGTTGGGTCAGGACTTAAACGAATGGTGTAAATAAGATAAATTCAAAAGAGCAGAATGAACAAAATACAGGCGAGAANTTAGTGAATTCATTGGAGGTGAGTTCGGAGTATGCGAAGATGTTGTGATATGTCATGAATGATTTGATGGCGTTCATTTATATTATAATTGAGGATTACGAAACAACCAACTTCCTTCTTACATCATCGCCCGTATTGTATAATCGACGTAATGAACGATTTATAGATCAACAAAGAAATGAATCGCACACTAATAATACTAAAAACATAACCATGTTCTATATTTCAATTCAAATTTTGATTATGAAAGTTCGAACAAACCGCAATCGAGTTCACTGATTTGCTATTCATAGGAAAGCTGCAGGATCACTGTAAAAATTCCATCTCGAAACTAAAGTTTCCTGAATTCCAACACAGAGGAGTGGTTACAAAACATACAAATCAATTACTTGTGAATACAAAAGCTCTCTTGCTCATCCTACTTTAAACATCACTTGCGGCGTTGTGCGTCAGAACGTTGACAAATCAACAGATTGCACGTACAGTTTGGCTGTTGGAAATAGCAAAATTCTGTACAATAAAATCAGACCATCGCTGTGATCGTATCCACCCAACCACTCGAATTTTCAGCATCCTGAGTATTTACACAACAGAAATTCAGCTTCTTGCTGTTCAACAACTTGTCTTCCACCCACCTCAAACATGTTAAAACAGCTCGAGTCACTTGCACTAATGCATCACCAAACGTCTCACGACCACCTCAATTGCATTCAATTACTCTATTATTTTTCAAAAATTCCGAATAACCATCTCACAAAAACCAAAACCTTGACCATGTGTCATAGCGTAATTAGTACAATAGTTAACTGGAAAGTGGGGCATGTAAGCGACACAACGAATTTATTTGCTGAACCAAATCATAAAATTAGAGTACAACATCAATTTTGACAATTAAAAAGTGCAATAATTACGAATTGATTTGTATGTAGTGTTCAGTTATGAGTTCAAAATTCAGTTATGAGTTCAACAATTCAAAATGATGAATTTTTATTACGAGGTTGAGTAAATGGGTGCTGAAGTAGTGGTTGAAACACGAGAATTATTGCTGTATTCTATATGAATTTGGTCGTATTCTTTCATTTACCAATGAAACCGTTCTGTCCTTCAAATGAATGAGTTGAGCAAGCAAGAATATAACAGAGTCAATGAAATAAAAATTCCGCTGTACCAATTACAACTAGCATTTTGCTTGCGAGCTACACTAAAGGTTCACTGACATTGTACACAACTTCTACAATCCTATTTCATCCATGACTTAGTTCGAGATAAGATCCTATGTTATACGTTCTTACCACAATAGAACCTCTGACATAGGTTCTGCTGGCTTTCCATTCTACTGTTGTATGCCACCGAACAAATAACACTACACTCTTTAACAGCTCACATCAGCAAGTAAATTTCACAGAGTAAGACAGTGAAAAGCGAGCAAAGCATGTGAGCAGAGATCATATGTGGCAAGGTTGCAAGGCACGATGAGATCGTTTGACTCAAAATCATAAAACAAGCAACCAAACTAGTTTATTGAGTTCTCTGAAGTTAAGTTAAGAGTTGCATATTGCATCATAATTGCCTATAAAAGCGAACCTTTTCAGTCCCAAAACCTGCTTGAATTTCATTGATAAAATTATCCGATCCTCTTTCCAATGATATTTTTTCTTCCAAATTCTTAGGAAAACGCATCAATTTACTTGCTACACTTTGTGAATCGCCTTCATATGAACACTTCAGAATATGCAAACAAGTCAACATCAAAAATAATCACACAAGTTATTTTTGAACACATTAACATGTTGTCACTGAAACGTAAAAGCTTAATGGAGGTTGACAAACGAAAAAAANAAAAAAAGTCGCAATCAGAGAATGCAATTCGATGCCTATTCATAAGAATGCAGTCAGCGTTAATTATGTACGGTCGCATTTCATTGAAAAAATCACTTGAAGATGTCACAAGGTGCAGAGCACGACCAGCGTGATACAAACAACAAGCTTTTATTTCAAAAAATTGGAGGAATTTTAGAATGAAATTAAATTTTTGTTCTCAAGTTTCGATTCGTTGATGAAAACGAAACGAAAATGAGTTGAGTTGACTGCCTATTACTGCATTGGCTATTTTCAACTTTAATTACACCAGACTGTGGGACTTGCTGATCACTGTTACTCTGATCATAGTAAGCGGTTGAATTAGTAAGCGGGTAACTCGCCGCGGAATGTTTTCGTGCATTCGACGAATTCATCAAAATCCAATGTTATTTTCATCAATCGAAGATCAATGGAGAAGGAACGCATTAATATTAACAATGCTGAATTTCAGCACCAATATTAGATGTTGATAGAAATAAGTATAATTTGTCCAGAAGGAATCACAAAATTTCATTTGGAACGAAATCATTCACGTTGAACGCGGCAAATCGATTGACTGAATTCCGATAGAAATTTTGAGATTAGATCACTGAATATGCAAATTCGGTTTCATCAATCGCAAAAATTCAGAGCAATTCGTGTGGCTCCCTGCAGGTGTCTTAATGGGTATTTGTTAGGTAATGAAGACGCTTCTTGGAAATGACTAGTTTCATTGATCGAATGAATATCAAAAATGGTCACAAAATATTCGTCGCATCGATTTTGTTCGCTTTGTGTTGTGAAAACTCCTCAGTATGTTATTATTGAGAACTATTCTCCGTAAAAATCTGGAGAATTTTGAAGGATAAGGAAGTAATTAAAAACAATTAGATGGGTCAATTATACAGTTCTTAACAAGATAATTTTGGAAGAGAGAGTCACACATAAGAGTGCGTACGTTTTGTGCCGATGCCTTAGCTACGCGCTGTCTTAGACCTTATCTAACTCTATTTCAAATTTGCTACAATACGCGATGGACGGATTTACGGTAAATTTCAAATAAAAGGATTGCAGTGTAAAAGTACTGCAATACGGCATTTATGTTCCTCTGTCACCCATCACTACATTCATTCTCACCCATTTCATGCATAGATCTGTTGCATCCAAAAATAGCAGAATAAAGGTAACCAAAATTTTCTCTAAATACTAATTGTCGATTTATTAACTAAAAAAGTAACTATACTAATAAATAATAACTAAATTAATTTTTTTTAAAATAACTATACTAATATTAACTATACTAGCATTAGTTTTACTAATTAAAGTTAAATTATACTATTACTACTAATTATACTAATTAAAGTTAAATTATACTAATTAAATTAAAGTTAAAGTTATACTAAAGTAAAATAAAAATGTAAAAGTTAAACTAATGAACTAACTAATAATTAGTCGATAAAAAAAGAAACTAATAACTAAATAACAAATAAATAATTAAATAACTAAAAACTAAGAAAAAATAAAATTGACTAAAAAAAACTAAAAATTGTCACTTGGACGTCGAGTGGTTGTTTTGTCAATCGCTGNCCTACTCGCCTAGCCAACGAGGTGGCGTAGATTGAGGCTAAAACAATGTGCATGGAAACGTGAGCATTGTGGCCAGCAACGTTACAAACGTTTGATAGCCTGGCCAATCTAGGTAATTTAGGTAAACAGTTTTGTTCTTCTCTAACTTCGAGACGGAATGCAATGCAGCAACCAGAAAGAAATCACCAACGTAATGAAGTGCAATTCAAAAAGAATGAAATAAACCTATGTACAAAAAGCATTCAAAATGTACTGACGAAGGCAACACATTTCATTGATATTGCCATGCCTTCTATTTGTGAAAAAGTGAAAAACAAACCGGAGAAAATGAAAGTCGATGATTACTTCTATAGTCGCTGGAAAAGAAAAGTTTTTTTGGGTTGAACAATCTCAATGCTGAAGTTATTTGTATGTTTGAATAGCAAAATTTCATTCCTACTCAATAATTTCGCAACCGAATGCTGGGCAATCGAATAAAAAGTACGTAAACGTAACACAAAATAGCGCTTCGATCGCACGTTCGACTTGCTTGCATGAGACTGTGAAATCACAGAAAATTGTGAATAGAAATCTAAATAATGAATAAAACGAAAAGAATGAAAAGAATGTTGATTAAAATCGCACAGGACACCAAAAGATTTAGGAGGATGTTTCTCCAGTTGAAAAAAAGCATCCGAAATATGGACAACAATTAATTTTCTCGTCGCATAGTTATGCAAGTCGTGATCATTTTAGCACTTGCGATGAATCCTTCAGAATTTGCATGGATGAACGAATGATTATTTTTCTACTGACTCGAAATATTTACAAATCCACGCATAAAATCAATTAAAAACGTCATAAACTGTTCAACAAGCAAAGATTAATGAATTGGAAAGAATATAGCAACTAAACGAGAACGACTCACTGATGGATGTACCAAACCTCAGGAGAACTTCGTAATCACTTAATTAAATTTCAACATTCAATTTGATATTCCAGTATTCTCCAAAATCCTCTTTTCATTTAATTTATTCACGCTTTTTTCACGCTTTTCACGCTGCAATATAATTCTTTTGACAAAGATTCCACCTGAAGAAGTTCAGTACCGAAAAAGTTTAAAACGTTCTCGAGTGATTTAAATGAACCTCAATTGAACAACAAGGTGGGAACTGATGAGAATGAATTCATTCACAGCACAGCACCTCTTACATAAGTTGCACGTTCCTCACCGATATCAGTTCGATTATGCCGATTGGCAAAAGAGTGAAACAATTTGGGTGCTTAAACAATGAGCATTTGTATTGAGAATATGAAATGAAGTTAGCTGTACATTGCTTAAAATTTCATATCAAAGCAGGAAAAGTGACGAAAATTCACGTTATTCACTAACGAGATTACGCTGTTCGTCGACCAAAACAGTGTAAATGAGGAATGAATCATAATATGAATTACCATTGAAATGAATACTCATAATGCTCCACTCTCTCACATATTTACCGTTTAGTTAGTTAGTGGAATGAGTATGACTAATAATTACATTGTACATATTTTCAGATATGGAGCCTGTCGTAAATAAATCATATGTGATTGACTGCGTTACATCCGGGCTGTTCAACAAGACGCCAGCCGATGTACTGTCAAAGAAACTAGTTCTGGTGAAAAATACAACTTGAGAATTTTTTTTGTGAATACTGAAGGAGTTTAGGCGATTTTTGAATGAAGCTCATCATCTATGCAATCTTCCTTTAACGACCTCTTCAGAAAAATTTTCAGAATAACTTTTACTGGCGCTTGATGATATTATGCAGTAATCTCAGATGAAACAGCAGCCGCAATGAGCAGAAACATGCTGTCTTTTTACTCCATGATTTATGTTCTTCAAGTGATGCGTTTTCATTGACATTAGACTAAAGTCGTTTTTAGAATTCATCCATCATGTCGTATCATTATTTGACTGTTCAGTGAACAACAGGATGATGATCTGTTGAAAATAATGTCATCTGATCAAAAAGTAATCGTTCTTCTCATTCATTAGTTATTACAATCTCAGTTATTTTCAGAAAGTAATCTCATTACATTTANCATTCATGAGTTCTTATAATAATTTTTTGGTATGATAATGAGTGGGACCGGAATAACACTGGCAAAACTGAACTGAAACGGTCACAAAGTATCTTTTGTGTCGCAGAATTGTTGACTGTTTATAGTCAAGCATTACCAAAGTAGGTAATAAAGTAGAAGTTCAATAAGAGAATTTCTCGAAAAGGCACGAGTGAACACACTAAAGCGTGATCTGCATGCGTGTAATAAGCGTTTTGATCAACTCAAATTATCCAATTGCAATGAACAAATTGCGATGTAAAGCTTCTAAAATAACTAATGTCATAGTTTGAGGGCTTACTTGCATTATTTATGATGTGAATTCATTCCATGCACCTTGAATTAATTTTTCGTCCAGCAAATACCCTAAGTGTCCCTTCTGAATATGGTTTTTGGTTTATGAAGATGAAAAATTGCAAGGAATCACAATGCCGAACATATTCATCTTAGGCCAGGTCATAATGAAAGAAACAGGTTGATAGAGAAAGTCAAAAGCATTGATAATGATGTGACACTGACTGAGCTGAAAAAGCACGCAATGCACAAATTCTCAAGCGTTCAAACTGATTCGTATGAGCCGTAGTTTTAATGGTTACCAACAGAGCAATATCTCTGAATCAATGTTTAATTGAAATATGAAACTGAGCAAATAGGATCGAGTAATGCGAGTCACGTGGTAATATGATCATGAGCAAGTGATAGACGGATAAAGAGTAAAAAGAGCAGAACTGAGTCAAACGCAGAGCTCGCGTAGTCGTCGTTTGGGAGATAGATGCACATCTAAGCGTTAGCTAATTACGCAGTTCAAATTCCCCGATCGTAACGTGAACAACAAGTGCTAGAATTGAATTTTCATTCTCATCTCATAATCTATTAACTGTAATCTATAGTTAACAATATATTCATGAATGTATGCGCGAATTTCACGCGCAATAACCAATGCAACCTTGAGCTTCGTTCACTATCAATGAAGAAATGCTCGCATTTTCAGTGCATTTTTGATGGTTAACCTGCACTGAAAGTGGTTAACCTGCACTGACTGCGCATGAAAGACGACTGTAGAATTGCAGTTATGGCTAGCAAATCACGGAATTTCCTTACAGCAGCACTCTTCGCCATTCGAAAGGTGCAATCAAGAGAATCGTCACTGAACAAGTGTAAAATAATCATCAAATCGCTTTAAAAGTTCGTCGAAATGAACTCAGTTGAACAACTGTTCTGTTTTTTATTTTAATTGAGCATTTTGATGGTAGAAATGACATGGCACTGAAAAATGTAACATAAATGTCTCGGTAAAGGACAATCGTGATGTAATGAAAACCTATTTCCTCAATGATCATATTGCACGTTTCTAGAACTGTTGACACTGAGAAGTTCAAATACTACTCATCAACAGATCCCAGTGTGCACTTACAATTATCAATTCGAAGAGTTCAAAGAGCGCATTCTATGGAATGAAGTGGAATGTGATGTTAGTGGCAAAATAAACGTTTGCTAGGTCGATACGTTGGTTACGCTATTCATGAATTCTCAAACTGCCACAGAACACCTATTTTGTTACATATTAAATAACTACAGCGCTTTTCGAAAGTTGAACGTGAAAAAATTCTCTACGACCTGAGTGCATCATTGAAATCAGAGGAAAGGCAACGAAAAGTTCAGAAATATCTTGAAAAACTGATACGATAGAACCACTGATGAATGTACGTTTTCGATTGTTATATAAAAGAATGATACGTGAGAAATGAAAGCACTGCNAAGAACTCCATAAGTGCGCAAGACAAGTGACATATGGGCAAAAACAATTAAAGAGAGCTGGAGTCGAAGGCAAACAAGCAGCTTTAACCTCTGAAAATAATAGTCAATTAATTCACGATGATCGATGAGTGAAATGACCTACCCACAACAAGTCACCCATAACAAATCACAAATGACAAATCAGAGCAATGCTCATTACCCAAATCGACAACGGATGTCAGTCGTCAGGTGTTCGTTAAGCAGCATGCTTCATTAAGAACACCTTGTATATGCATGTCTCTCATATAGCAGCTACCTACATGTTTATCGAATACACGTCGCATAAATACATCGCACTCTACCAATTTAAATCTCCTTCATTATCCATAGTGATCATTTAACAGTAACAGTTGCGAATGATGCCAAATTCAATGAACCATAAAACATTCACCACATGAAATTTCTTACGTGAGAAATCTCGAAGGGACTTCTGACGTAAGAAGTTTCTTGTACTTGTAAATTCTTTGAGGGACCCTTAAAAATTAGCAGATTAACAATTACATTACTTTCATAGAAGTTCGTCTTTGTTTTTCATGTGATTCGTTCAATCAAGAGAAGAATGCTTACATACATTGCTAAAACAGTCAAATGTGGAACAAGTGAAGCTTAACAAAACTATTGATTATAAAATCAAACATATCATTTGGTATCGGTTTTTTTCAGTTTTGCAAAAGTTTACTGGTGCCATTTCATTCGTTTAGTTGAATGGCACTTTTGAGCTGCGAAGTGGTGTTCCAGATGAGATGAATAATATGCTTTTTAATAAATAACAATCTACTGTGACAGTTGCGAATAATGCTGTCAAAACAACAACGTTTACGGGCTGTATCTTAAGTAATGTATGGTTTTGCTATGGCATATCAACTGGATGAATCAAAAAAANAAAAAAACGCAACGAATAGTGCAGAGGAATTGAATTTCTGAATCAACATTGAACAATACCACTCATTTCACAGCTATCCATACGAACATTGAACATCGAACGTGTGATAGGGTTAAACAATATCAAAGAGGCGAAAAATCTGCTGCTCAGCAGCTGGAAACGGAGAAGGGGTACATTTATAAAACCTCGATGATAATTGGCGAATTTCAACTCAAAAATACTTACCGCATGTTACTACACGATTGAACCGACAACGCAGTAAAACAATCCAAATTCATGAGTACATATCGCGTTTCAGTAAACATTTCCAAACATATTTACATAACATATTCGCTGCGAACGAATTAATATTTCACAATAATTTATGCAATGGGAATCGATCACTTTCTACGATTTCTCTAAACGCTTTTCAAGATGAACCTTAACGAAGAACACTTGAGTGTTTGCTTCCGTTAATGCAATAATAATTTCTCGATCAGCCTGAGATTTCTTTGTCAGTCAGCTGATTCTTATCGGATTGTGATCACCAAAGAGCAGTATTTCGAGTAAGAAGATATGTTTGCATATTGCTCTTTTGCCTGCAATAAGTCGTTAATTTGAAAGATCCGAAGTGCAGAAAATTTATCAGTCTTGCTACAAGAGTCGTAATGATGATAACACGACATAAAACTGCAAAAATCTCCTCACTCATTGTTGGAAACTTTCGTAAATCAGCAACTGAAAAAATCCTTTATGAAGTCTTCAACAGATCGATTAATGGAAGAAAAATCAGTGATGATGATTTCGTTAGCTTTTGATAGAGAATATTAATGAGAGCAGGAGAATCGATGGAAGTGGAGCAAAATTTGCAATAGACATAATAGGGAGAAAACATTCGTTTTCACAGTTCGTCGTTACTGTTTGATTTTTGAATCATTTATTCAATCGTTTTTCGGTGAAATTATCAGAAAAATTACTGCAATGAATGATAGTTCATAATGGGTTTATTCAGCTTTTAAATGTTTTCACAGGTATCTCGTTGGTGATTTGTTAGTGCGTCACCTGATTCAGAGAAAAATCCTAATTTGTTGACGAATCAGTCTCAAAACTTTGGAAAATTTGCGAATTGTTTTCCTTTGTTCACTCCCAACAAGAGGCTATTATTTCATTCTCTAAATTTGAAGGATAAGTAGTGTAAACAATGAAATTAGTTTCCTTTAACGAACCACGCAGATCCAAGTGAGTGCTTCGATCAAACAAGTTTGACTTTCAGACCAGTTTAAAGTTATTCAGAATTTGGGACGATGTATCATATTATAATAATTTCTTCTGCAACTTGAATCAAATTAGCATTCTTGTGGACGCTTGTGGTCCATCGTTTACAGATGAATTAAAATACTCCAATTCTATCCAATTGACAACTCAAGGCTATGGTCAGAGAAAGCAGCATTTCGGAACGAATTCTGAAAAATAAGATCAAAAGACGAGCGACCATATTGTTTGTTTGCCTTATGGCCTAACCTTCTTCGAGCAATTCGAAGTGAACATATTCTTTTGCAATTCAATTTATTTAAGAAATTTAAATCGAAAAGAAATTATTTGCAGTCTGCAATTTAACAACATTCGCCTATAAACGCATTGGATGAAAGGGTTAAATTCCGAACTGGGAATGGAATAGCTGAAGGTGACAGTGCATGCTGAGTCGCACTGAATCTCATCATTTTTTGCATACATTAAATGAAGTTTTTACATCAAACTTGAATGTTCATTAATTTGCATAACCAAACACGGCAGGATTTACATTCGAAATATCTATACAAACCTCGCGTAATCATTCTCACCATTCACTTCACGCAGACGATCGCATAGGGTTGCCGAGTTAATTGGTTAGTGAATAATGAAAAGGCTTCTATTTAGCGTGATGACTGGGTAGGACTGTCGCGGACATTTGGTGTTCCCGTCACGGACTGGTTATCAGATAGATCAATTGCTTTGTAGATCGGATTTTGCGGGTGTGTTAACAACAGATGACGGAAGTCGGCATACTACTGTGTTTGAGGTTATATGTGGTTAATGCTTGCCTTGACGGTACTCATCGATTAAGGTTCATCCGTTCGTACAGTTGTGTTTGCAAGGAGCTGATGTATTCTTTCTGTCCATATTTTACTTATCTATGACCATGAAACCCATTTGAGTTTAAAATATTCTGACTTTTAAGCCAACCCTTACTGCACCTCCTAAATCCTTGTTCTTTTCAATTGATTTTGCGGTCAATAGTCGCCTCGAAATGCGAAATTCCATTTCTATTCTTATTCACATCCCCTTTGGTGATAGACTTTCCGTCAAATTGAGAGCTTCTGCCTTGCAAACCTCAACGGCAATGGAGATCTGGTGGAAAAGATTGGCTCTTTAAAATCAGGATACGAAATCATTCATATTAAAAATAGTTACTGTGCAGTGATTTTCATAGGTGATATGGCCTTGCAATTCGTTGGATTGATAATTGCACTGATTGTTATCGACGGCACGTCCGGGAGGGTGCAACGTTTTTTCATTACGGGACGTCTTGTTTGCGGCACACGACCAAGCGCAGAACAACTGATTACCCTTTATGATTATGATACATGTTAGTGCTCGCAACTGTGACTCCAAGAATGCTGAGTTAAAAGTCCAGCAATTCAAGTAAAATAAGTTCAATCAGATTTAATAGTACTTTTAAATTCGATCGAACTTATTTTACTTGAATCAAGAAGTTACTTAACCATAAAGCATTCAGGCACGATGAACCAGAGATGACAATAGCCATTTTATAAACTTTTTGCGGAATTAACCTTCAACAGCTGCGTTATGATTCATCCGAACAGCTGGTATGTAAAGACGAATGAGCAGATTTTCGATTTTCATGATAACGTTATGTTAATTCAGTTAGCCGTGATGATAAGATGGGCGTGAGCACTAGTGATAAGGATGGCAAATTCAAGGTGTTCGGTCAAGAAGATGAGGTCTTTGCGGTCGAGCCCTTCATTACCATCACACACGACTGTGAGGGGACTTCCCATGACGGCAAAGTGGGGTTAATTCTATATATATTTTTGTTAAACCCTCGCGTTACATGACAATAGGTTATTTCCATAGAAAATCCCATAAGCACGGTGAACGAGCGCTCGATATCCTTGTTTCCTGGTTATCCCGAGTAATCTGAGATAGTGAAAGATTGTCAATGATATTAACGAGAAAATTCAGACTCACGTGCGCAATTGTCTACTTGCGAAATTTTATCTATGATTCAGAACTAACTGATCGCTTACCACGAAAAATACTACGCAGAGTTACCGATCAATTAAAAAATTGCAGCATTTCCCAAAACCCAGTCTCAGTATCATGCTTGATTAGCGTTTATTAAGGTTCAGATGATGTTAGTAACAATGTTGCAGAAATGTATACATGTTGACCGATATGAAGTGCCAGTTGGTAATGCGAACAGAAGATTCGATTAGTAGCAATGTTGCAGGAATGCAAATACGTTGACCGATATAATGTGCCATTTGGTTATAAGAAGAAAAGATTCCTTTATGGTATTATAAATTTAATGTTGCCAACGAGTAGAAGAAAGATATCTTGCTAAGTTTTAGGAACGATTCTGAAATTTTTATGATTCAGAATCATGTTTTGTGTTTGGACTGTTTTGAATTCCCATCGTATTGTGAGAACTGCTCAAGACCAGCTTTCTCGTTTCGTTGAATTGACCAAATTATTGGCAAGGAGGCCAAAGTGCATTTTCGAGAGACAGTTGACCGATATGAAGTGCCAGTTGGTAATGCGAACAGAAGATTCGATTTCGGTACTATAAATTTAATGTTGCCAACGAGTAGAAGAGAGACTTTTTGCGATTATAAATTAGTTTTATGAACGACTCTGAAATTGTAAGATTTTAAAATCATGTTTTCTGCTTGGACTGTTTTGAATTCCCATCGTATTGTGAGAACTGCTCAAGACCAGCTTTCTCGTTTCGTTGAATTGACCAAATTATTGGCAAGGAGGCCAAAGTGCATTTTCGAGAGACAATGAATTTTGATCAGTTCAAATAGGCACTTAGCCACTGCATATTCCGTGAACGAAATGTTCCATACAACGCTGAATTTGCTTAGGTGATGTTGATGATCATAGCAATTGTTTTTCGACATCCTTAATTATTTTAATTTGAAATGATATTGAACGTCCCGGATCCTGATGATTGCCTGTGCTATCGTTATTTATTTGTATTGAATGTAACCTATTTGAAACTTTAGTGCGGATAAATCTGGTCAATGAGTTGAATAAAAATGTTTCTCACAGAGAACTTGCATGTCTAGAAATTCAACACAAGCCGGTCAGACAAATCCCTACCGAACTACATACTTACTGAGCTACGTCTATAAGTCGTTCGAGAAGCTTGTTCTCTTCAATGTTTTAGCGACTTTGAAGTATATTTCCTCTTGCATTCTACCTGGTCCACACTGGATGATATATAACGTATGTTAGTGGAGCAGAAGAATGAGTGAAAATCGCTATGACACTCTTGAGTCTAATAAAAAGCCGATCAAAAACCGAGTAATTCAATAACACTGATAAGCGAACGACACAAACAAATTATTGAGATCCTGATCGAGCCAACACAATCGAGTATTTATGCTGATAATGGATTTGTTTTATTTTGTGCAAAATACCTTGCGGAAACTATTGAGCGGCATTTTCGCATTGTAATGAACAGCTGCGATTTTGACGGATGTGACAGAAGCTCTTTTATACATTGCTCTTATCTTATTTCCTATTTTTTCTTTAATCAGTTTCCTCTTGACAACACATTGTAACCGAACATAATGAAACCGAAAAATNAAAAAAAAACAAATATTAAGCATACTAGGACTCAAACCATGAACAAAACACTGGCAACCCGACGCTTTGGCAAGTGACCTATAGGAAGCACGATCACCTGACCTCCGCTGGTTATTCATTAAACCAGATAATTCAGATTTTGGTTCAGGAAAACATAATCGATTCAGACGAGTATTTGGCAGAAAGGAAAGACTGGTAGGTAATCAACATGATACAATATGTCACTATATGCCCCTATCCAAATTTGTGTGGTTGATTTCGTTGTGGGTGAAAGGAATCGTATCCTCTCAAGGAATCTCTGTCTGATGTGCGTCATTATAATATTTGAGAGATGTTAAGTCTGCAAGCTGACTGGTACGGAGTTTTCCCTGGCAAAGGTTTGGAGATACACTCTGCTTCATTTCAGTAATGATCCAACTTTTCATTGAATTGATCCTTATGTTAGTAAGGACACCAGTTTGATTAATAAAACGACTTAACGGCAATGAGGAAAACAGGAATGAAAACATGTCCATAGTTAACAATCGAAAATGTTTGTGTTCATCTGGAGAGCCAATAAGCATTACAAATGCAGAAAATACGCGGCTCGAGTACCTTTCAGATTGATCTTTCAGAAACTTTGCACACGTCTACTTGGTTACTTTTTAAATGAGCAATCGAAGGAATAAGTTTGGTTGATGAAACGACAGAGAACGGTTTGAAATAGACGCGACGTAAACCGTTGGGAAACGCTTATTCCAATAGTGAAACTTTTCAGCAGTTCCCACATTCTGATTCATTGCATATGGTGTTTTTCAAAATACGTGAACATCTTGCGTTGAAAATCGAAGCATAAAGGTTAACGAGGAGGATTTCTTAGAGCTATTCATTGCTTACGACGGTGCTTCGAAGTTCGAGCACTGCGCGTAACCTTCCTATGGTGTTGTCTTGGCTGAAGTTTGGCGGGTAATGCGTAAACCAATTATTGAGAAAGCCTGAATTAGAAAACGATTTCCCGTTTCTTTTGCAATCGCTACAGCAGCAATGACGGAATAATGTCTCAAATCTCCCATGGCACATCACTGAGAATCGCAATGTTCTTGCCCAATTACTAAATTCGTCCGATTATCAAGTGTGTTTTCAAAAGGTGTGTGTTCCTATTGAATTGTTGCAGATAAATAAATGAAATGGATTAGATTATTGTAAATTTTGCATCCGACTTTGTTCCTTTTATTCATTACGCATTTTGAATAAACGTTTCACTACATATTTGAAGTTTCACTAATTTACGTAATCAAACCTGTTAAGAATTTGCATTTGACATGACCTATATAAACCTCCTTTAATCATTTTGATCATCCACTTCGTCCATATTATTGGAGTAGCTGGTTGGGGGTTGATAAAAGCGGTTTCGGTTAGTTCAACGATGGGATCGTCGGTGCCGGCCAGCGACATCCCAATTCTCATTACTGAGTGATTTAGAAAGGCGAGCTTCTGGAGAGGGAACGTGGACGACACCGTAGTTGATGTTCAGTC